GATGTGGAAGGAACCCAGAGATGGGTAAACTCACTCCGTCCTTCCATGTGCGAACAAGCCCTGACATTGTTTTTTCCTGGTGTTTTTTGGGTTATCCCATGTGTTTTGGCAGAAGATGTCAGAATGAGTGAGTGCGCACTGCAAATGTGCCCAGAAGCTCTTGGAGAAACATTTTGAAAATCATCTAGGCTTTAAAGAAGTCAAGGAGGGAATTGGTCCAGACACGTAATGGTCCTACCACACTGGTGGTGGGAAACTCTGGAGTAAATGATCCTGCTGGGAACTGCATGACTATCTCTATGCTTCTCCAATTTCTGCCTGTTTTTTAGTTGGGAATTACTCAAACATGAGGGTGCACAAACAGCTGGACCAGTCTAGGAGATATGATGGTCCTCGCTCCCTGAGAAGTAGCACCACAAATCCTATGGTAAAATTTTGGCAGTAATGATGTCCAGCCCCGGAATCATGACATTATCAAGGTCGTACGCAAGAAAAACAAGCAGGTCATCCTTCCCCTTCCAAAAATTAAAACAACTTCTCAACATGACTGAACCTTTTCCCCAGAAGTGGACATCTGAGCAGTCCACAAAGACGCTGAGCTCAGTCTTTTGAACCATTAACATTGCTCCATTTGTAGGTCTTTAAGCAGAAAAAAAAAAGGAGAAAAAATAAAGAAGAGAAAAAATAAAGAAAAGAAAAAATAAAGAAAAAAAAATCTTTTTTTTTTTTGGCTGTTGGATTTTTTTTGCCACCTGTTTATGGCAGCCCTGTTGTATCGATCAGATAATAATCTTCCACGGCAACATCGAGCTTTGCAAGCCCATCATACATTGACAGATTTCTCGTTGCATCTTTCTGGGAGCGTCCGTGGCTGAGATAGTTATGGGCTATAAATATGCTGACAGTTGAGGAATTTGTCAAAACTCCAAAGAAATTCTCAGCCAAGCTCACTGCAAATAAATCGAGCATCAGCAAAGCATAATGCGGAAGTTTTCTGTTAAAACATTTGAGTTTTGCAAGTTCTGTAGTTCACACCTAAGGTGAAATTTAATTTAAAAGAAATACCTGCTTACTAATTAGTTAAGAATCATACCAAAATCCACCTCAAATGAAGGTTGGGAATGTCTCCAAGGCTCCTGAACAATGACACCCAAATTTAGTGTCATGTAGTTCAGGGGAGGTAAGGGAAAATTTGAAAAAAAATCCAACCCAACCCCAAAACTCAGAATTTATATGGAATAATTTAGTTTTACTGTCAAATGCTGAATATAAATTGAAGCAGAAATGTCTTACTAATTTATTCAGAAAGGGGGTGGGGAGGGGCTGTGTCTTGCTTGGGCCGAGCCTCTAAGAGTTGTTCCTTCCAGAGTGCACAAGGACTTGTCTCGGCGCGGACCTCAGCCGTGGTCTTGGCAACCGTTATGGATTTTAACGGGCTGAGCCTGGAAACAGATACGCATCAAACGGCGGAAGAAAGACTGTGCTCAATGGGAGCTCCGGATCAATCTGCAGACTTCCAGGGGCTTCAGTGGTTTAAGTCAAAGAGAGATGCCTGAACAAAACCCAAGAGGTTGATGAACACCAAAGCAAAAATTCAACTGTTTGTGGCTCATCCAATTTTAGACAATTTGAGATTGTTATATACTCGGTTTTGGATAAATATTCCACGATTAAAAAGGCTGCAGTGCTGTTTTTTAAAATCCTGGGACCAGTTTCTCTTCCCAGGCAAGAGATATTTCATAAATGATAAGCGAGAGACAGGTTTGACCTCACGTTTCCATTTCATCTATGTCAATCTCTGCCAAAATGGACGGGGAACTACTCAAAAACTGCATTAAGCGTCTTCCTCGGGAAAGATTTGTGCATTTTAATGTTTCTGTGGAGGTTTGTGGGTTACGAATCTTTCCAGAGTGGAAAGCTCAGCCTCCCACGCAAACAAGATTTCATCTCTCTCGAGAAACATTTCATTAAAATCTTAGTAAATCCAATAACAAGGCTTTTTTTTTTTTAAAGGAACACTTTCACAAACACACTAGAGCTCCTAACGAGGCCTTTGAATTCCTCCTTGACATCTGATCTCCTTTCCGGCACGAGGCCATAGAAAATAATCTGAATTATTACTTCTGTTGCAGTGCCATTTTACTCCAAATATTTTATTCGGAGATTCACATATAATTACCCACCTAATAAAAGGAGCTATTAGGTTGTAAAGATCCTATCCTTTCCATGCTCTTTTAAAATTATGACCCACTCAAGCTTGAAATCAAAGGCAGAGCTGAATGGAGTAATTCAGCTGAAACTCCCTTATTGGGTTTTGCAGCCTCCTAACTGATAAATACGCAAATTAGTTCCCTTTTGGTGATTCAGCCGCATAAACAGGGATTAATGCCGAACGCAACTGAAAATTTCCCAATAAAACGTACGCGCACAAAATTTGCTCCATTCAACCAGCTACCGCTGTCAAGAAACGCCGCGACGCGCAGCTAAAGGACTTGGAGAAGAGAGATTCCCTACAGATGGTCCATGGTGTCCTGCTGCTCTCCGCTCTTTGCTTGCCGTTCTCGTGGAGCACTGGCCGATCTCAACCAGGAAATATTACACTTGTGGAAAAGCCATCCTAATTAATTTATCAGTTATTTACTAGCCTCTGCAGTAAATACCAGCCTCTTTCTCCCAAGCTTGTGTCCTGCCCGCAGGAAGCACCCAGCACCTGCCACCCCTTTGCCGTCCTCATCCTCCACCCATCGTCATCCCAAGTGGATGGATCTTCGGAGCGATGATGTCCCGGGAGTTGAGGGGTAGACATAAAAAATTCAGGGAAACTTCAGCTCTGGTATTCTCTCTGCTCCGGCTTGTGATGGCTCCAGCGGCGCTTCGCAATGTCATCGCAAGGGCCACCCATCCGCAGACATGTTTTTTTACAAACTTTAGCACGTAACGAGAAGATTGCATATTATGTCCTCTGTTTGCAAGTGTATGCCGGCAGACTTCTGGTTTTAATTTTTTCTTCCTTTTTTTTTTTTCCACATTCCTGGTTCTCTGTTTGCCATACAGAGCACATGAACTATGGGAGGATTGACAGACGCTTGCTAAAACGGCGGAATTTTACAGCAACTCGCTACTCCACACCACTTGCGCGGGATGAGCGACGGCGACGACAAAAGAGAATGAGTAATTTGTCTTTTCATTTTGTGCTGTTGGGAAAACTTCCAAATTTTTGGTGTGGTGGTGTGATTATTTGCTATGGGTGTTTTTGTAGTTGGTAATTACGTATTATTGTAATAAAAGAATAAAACAAACGAGTGACCTACAACACTGTCTCATTAACGGCATGGTCTATGTTTAAAAACATACTTGCATGAGGTAAGACTAGACCTACACAAAGAGCTACAAACCTCTACGGAGTAAAACATGAGTTAGTCATGACAACTTGAGCTCTATGAAGACTAGTAGATCAAAAATGAGCAATCCGGTGGCGTCAGCTACGACTCCGTGGTGATGACTTCGTTCGTCTTGCCAAGCTTTCATCACTTGAGACGCCTGACTGACAGTTCTGTAACATTTCTGTTCTTCTTTCCTTTTTTTTTTTTTTTTTTTCTTCTTTTTCCTCATTCCTTTGAGGACTTTGCAGGAATCTTCCTTGCACTGAAGGAGTGGTACCGGGACCAAGATGATTTTATGGGGTGGTGTATGCGGGTGGGGTACACGTGAAATCCTGGTATGCTGCAATGCTCCGGGATAATTATCGCTTCATCAAGTGCTGTTAGAAGGCTGAGCCTGTGATAGCGTTGAGTTGCTTCATTAGCCCCTCCAAACTGGCCATCTGTTCACTCAGATCATCCTGCTCATAAACCTGGGAGTGAACAAACACACGCAGATAAGTTGGCAGCAGGATGGGAACCAAACCCCCCACCTCCGAACAGAGACCTGGGCATGGCCCATGGTTGGGGTCCTCCCACCACAACACCTTCCCTGCGTGGTCCTCAGTGTCCTGGAGCATTCAAGGATGGGCTGAGGCTTACAGGCTGGATAGCAAAGCCTCTTTGGGCTCAACATGTGAGCTGAAAACCAGGGGTGACCATGCTAGGACAATATTAAACATTAACGACCATTCCTTGAGCCCATGTTTCTCCAGCTCCATCCTTACGTTGCACCCATCCATGGTTGGAGGGGACAATGAAACCATTTTTTAGCACCCAAGAGAGGTATCATCTAAACATGCCCTCTCCTAGGGCTGCGACAGCTCATTCAGCAATTTGCTGAACTTCTCAGCCCTTGCTGGTGGTTGGGAACTTCTCCCATTGCTTTAAGTGGGAACAGAGGACTGGGAACAGTTTCCAGAGGCAGTGAACTGTGGCTGGAAGAAAGCAATCCTTTGGGGGTATGGTCAACTGAGAATCAACAGCAAAATCTAAAACTACCAGCGCCGCACCTAGTCTTGGGAACCACTGAGCTCCGAAATTACCAGTGCCGCACCTATTCTTGGGAGCCATTGACCTCCAAAATTACCAAGGCAAGAGCAAGAGGAGGGATCCTCCACTTTCACACTCCGAGAGGGACCTCAAACATGAGTTCTGTGGGTTTTACCCAGTTAAAAGATGTGGATAAGCCCCTAAGGTGGGACAGAGACGGCAGCTTAAAAAAGCACCTGCAGAGTCAAGCTTAAAAAACCCTATTCCCCAAATTTTCGCCTTTTTCCCCAAATTCTGACCACCCAATGAGCTCGTTGCCTGCACCGTTATTGCCAGAAACGGCCCACATGCTGTGGAGCTTGAGCGGTGTCTCTCCTGAGAGCTAAATCGTGCTGCTGCGAGAAAAATATGGTGCTGAGAGCTGAACTCGCACTTTGTGTTAGTAGATGTCCCGTAGTAAATTACTCCTTATGCCAGCCATTTTTACCACGCAGGGCTCCTACAGTGCCTAGCAAAAATTTCTGTGCGAGTAGATGAAAAGAGGCGATATACGACACGTATTGAATACGTTCCTTTTTTCCCTCGTTCTTTTTCTTTCGCGTTCTGTCATTTTCTGCATCACGTGAGACCTTTCTCTAAGAGAGCCTTAATAGGAGTGAAAACATTATTCCAATCACACCATCGTTTCAGTTTCACTTATCTACTCCTTCAATGCTATTTGTCTCCCCATTATCTGCTATTACTATACACTCGTTTTTCTGGCCAAAATTATTTTCACCCCTTATTGTACTTCCCACTCCACTTCCTCCTCTTCTACCGGTATCTCAGGGTGCTTGGGAAA